AAAAAAAAAAAAAAAAAAACTCAACAAAAATATGTGTTCCATTATATCAACGTATCAACATAGTAAAATTTCATAACAAACTTACATAAAGTCCATTTAAGTATACTTCATGCACTTAAATACTCACGCACTTAAATACTCACATGCTGTCATTCAAGCATTTTGCATGCACCTAGAGTCCATTAAAACAAGACATTACAATTATCAAAGACACAATGTTTAATTAAACCAAGAATTATCAAAGACATTACAATTTTTTTTACATAAAGGCTGAACAGCCCGAGGCCCTGAATTAGTGAACTTATTACTTTATTATTGATATAAATATAATTATAATGTATTATATGTATATCTAATATTTTGTACAAATTAATTAAACGAGGCAAAAGAGACGGTTAGTGACAAAAATATTCAAAATCGATACCGACATTGGTTAAAATGGTTCGAGACCGGCAATGATACAAAAATAAAGAAAACTTTTTGGAACCTTATTTTTCGAAACGGGGCCATTTCGGTGTTAAGTACCGGAAAATTTTAGTTTTTTTGCTCACCCCTAAGAATCAGGTTGGAAGCGTTGACTAGTCAATCCGTAACTAAAAGCACGAATGGAAATTCATCCATGTTTGACAGTAATCATGGGCGGAGCCACCCTTGGACAAGGGTGGGCTCAAGCCCCATGTAATATTTTTCTTCTTTAGTTTAGTATAGCTTATTTTATTTGTAGCCGCATTTAAATATTAGTCTAGCCCAATTTAACTTATATGCTTTTAGGAAGAATCTCAATAATTTATTAATTTTCATCTCAAAAGTAGAAGAGGTTTGAGCATTTTTAATTAAAAAACATACACAAATTATTGCTTATTCTAATTTTATTTTACAAATTTTTAAGAAGATTGTTAATTAATGTTTGTTTTAATAGTGATATTTCTTATGTTATGTAATGATCAAGAGCTAATATGAATTGATTTGTGATGAAAAATTTAAAAATATACTTAGTTTGCACACAAAGTTATTTGATGAAAGCACAACTAAAAATTTGAGATAATAAAATTTAAATTTGTATAGGCTAAAATTTGCATATTTAGACATGATATAAAATTTGCAAATTTGTATAGGCTAAAATTTGCATATTTAAATATAAATACTTTCTTTCTCGTTTAAATATTGTGTTTCTTCTTATTGTTTTCTTTTTTTATTTTGGTTGATTCATATTGAATTACGTTATTTGAAATAATATTGGTTATTCATGTAATTTATATTACATTACATATGGAATATATCAATTACTTTATATTTTAATTTATATATTTTGTTTCTTCTAGAATTCCAATAAAACATTTATTTTGTGATTCGACTTATGGATTTTAATAATTTAGATTTGGCATTCATTGGATTCTTAATATACACCTCCATTCATTTAACTTTGTAATTCATGTAAGTTGTATTGAATATTAAAAAAAATTATTTTCATACATTGGTTTCTTATGGCATCTAGCTAAAGATGTTATTCGAGCCGAGGCAAGTGGGATATCTCATTTTCGAACTTGTTATTATTTAATAAACAAGCTTGATTAGGTATTCGAGCTTAGCCTTTGAAGTGTATGAAATAGTTGAGTTCGAGCTTTTACGTGCAAAAAATGAATTGTGTTCGTGAATAGTTTGATTCGAATAATAGCTCAATGTCAAGCAGCCCCGGGTAGAAAAAATTCCTCGCTACGCCCCTGACAGTAATCAATAGGTAAATAAATTACTTGAAGAGGCAACCAAAAAGATCAGATCGAGAAGCTTAAATGATTAAGAAGGTGGGTATCAAAGGATAAATGAAAGATAAATATCAACCAAAAAGATCAGATCGAAAATGACAACTCTCTCACCAATGCACAACTCCCATTTTGAATTTTCTCGACGGTGAAGTAAGACCAAGCTCATGGCCGCTGGTAGTGAAAGGATATGACGATCTTGGGGCAAATGTTCCTTACCATTGTGAACGACAATCATATAGTTAATCATTGCAGGTATAATGGTAGATGCGCGAAACACCCGATCCAGCCTTTTCTGTTCGTGATCGCTTCAGATTCAGAATCTCTTGCCGATTAGGGTCAAAAGGGTGAAAAACGAATAAAACTATTTTAATATAATTAATGACATAATGGATGATAGAAAATGACATGAATGTATACTTGTTGTTCATTTTAAATGTGCTCTATAAAGTAATAGGACTGTAACACGTGTGATTATTGATAAAATATGTCATCTTTTATGTAATTGTAGCATAATAATAATTAAGAGTCGAAAACACGATGTAAATGGACCAATGAATTTATCATGAGCCCATTATACGCCAGCAAGTTGAAAATATTTTAGTTTTGGTTGGATTTTATTGATTTAAGTAAGTCATTTTGAATAAAGATGATTAAGTGGAGAATTGAGTGTGTTTATAGTTTGTATCTAAAAATATTTAAAATGTAGTAATTATAGTATGAGGTGATTGAAAGTGATACTTAATTAAAATTTCTAAGTGGATATATAATAAATTAAAATTAATATAATATGTTGTACCAAAAAAAATTAATATAATATGTGAAAATGATTGATTGATATCTATACTTATATAAAAGGCATTCTATTTACTAGAATTAGTAGTAAAAAAACAAAGGTAATTAATGCATTTTATTTCCATCAAGTATTTTATTTAATTATTTTAGTTAATTGTTTTATCTCATAACACAATTTTCAATACAACTTACCATGATTTTTCTATTGTGATTAAAAACCAAATTTTACGTTTAAAATCTTGTGAAATATTATTATTATTTTTATAAAACACATATTAATTGTTAAAAAATTGTATATATATATATAATACACATCACAGTACCATGGTAGATGATTTAAAGTTAAACCGACCAAAATGCCAATGATTTAAATTTGAACACACCTATGCGTTTGACCAAATGTCCGGATGATTGAAAATTGAGCTCATAAAAAATTATTTAAATTTGAACACACCAGAAATTTTATGTACTTTTTATTTATAAATATATTGAAAGTGGTATTTAATAGTTGTTATATAAACTATTTTAATATATTTGCAATGAATAAAAGTTTGAATAAATAATTTATAATGTTATTCATAATGTTTGTGACTTATGAGACACGAACACATGACTCCATACATATTTGCTAGAGTGCGGCTTATTAATTTTTTAGACTTAACGTTGATTAGGTAGAAAATAGATAATAACATTATTACTTTTTAGACTTAAACGGACAAGGCTGTGAAAATAACTCATTTAATATCTTTGTCCCGTGAATCGCATGGGTTACGTATTAGTTATTTTATTATATTGAATAGAATTAAGTTGAATAAAGTCAAAATTGAATTTTAAGTTAAAAGAGTGTAAACCGTATAATACGGTTTAACTTGATATATAGTTTAAACCGTATAATTTGTATCCGATCGCCTTCTAAAAGCACAAGCATTTTCAGCTGCTCGTTTATAAACACATCTTCTGTTTATACTTTCGTTTATCATGTCGAACAAGTGAAGCTCATTTGCCAGCAAAATTTGCGGAAAAGAATGGCGAACTCATTGCAAATTCAAGCTTGGCTAAAGAGCCCCCCATCAATTATCCCAACTTCTTCGTTCGGCAAAGATAACAATACTCCACAAACAAAGCCTTGGAGCTATTTGGGAGCAGCCATTTCCACTCCCTGGAGGCTTGAGAATGGGCGGCGGAGAATAGTTTACAGGGACCGCAAAGGGATTGCTTGTTATGGGTTTTTGCTGCCGGTGGATCCATGGGCACCCACCATTGATTCACAGAGCGTAGCCTCGCAGCTGTTTGCTTTCTCTCTCTTCCCGTACATGGGCTTCTTGTATTTCATCTCCAAATCAAAGTCTGCGCCCAAGCTCACCCTTTTCGGATTCTATTTCTTGCTTGCCTTTGTTGGTGCTACAAGTATGTAGTGCTCTGCTCTTTTTTCCCCTTTGAACTAGAAAGAGTATGTATCAGTGTGTTGTTTGCTGTTTTCTTGAAAATTAGTTTTATTTTTGCTCTGTTGAGTTGCCTTAGCAATTTGCTGCTGTGTAATTTTATGTCTTGTGCGGCTTTCATTGGGACTTTAGTTGATTTTCTTGAATTTGCTGTAGCTTAACTATAAGCGATTGATATTTGGCAGCTGTAGGGATTGTTTGATTTGCCATTGTTGTCTCATTCTGGTCTTTGGTAAATATGTGAATCGAGTAACACCGACAAATGGTCGGAATATTTAACAGCTGAATTTTTTTACTGGATATTAGATTATGTGCTATATGCTGCAGAGGAATTCAGAAGAAAAAAAAATAAGCATAGCTGAGAAGGGTATGCATTTTTCTTTTGATTTTCCTGGATGCTTTTGGGGAACCTGTCTCATGTTATTAGTTAGAAGTTTCTTTTTTCTACATTAAATCATTTTGTAGTGTTATTGGGCTTATTCGTAATTAATTCAGCGATAACATAATGCTGGACTCGTCCTTTCATAATCTTGTCGGCATTTATTTAACCGAAAAGAAGAGATAGTTTTGTAGTTCGATTATCATATACCATATCTCTTTCTAGTTCATATATTCTTACAGCTAGAATGGATATCATTCAGTTCTGTACTAATTTTTTTCTCATGTTCTTTTTCTGAATTGTTGCCGCTCATCTGCAGTACCAGCTGGAATTTATGGTAACCTTGTTCTGCAGCGCAGTTTTACGTACATTTACGAAATAACAGTGTCATAGGAAATTTCTGATTGTTCCCTTATTGAACAGCAAAGGTGCACTATGGAACTTCCTTGTCCAATGTTGACTGGTTGCACGGCGGAGCTGAGTCACTGCTTACCCTCACCAATATATTCATTGTCTTAGGCCTTAGGGATGCTCTTCGGAAAACCAGAGACGAAAATACAATTACACCTAATTCTTCCTTTGGAATCAAGGATGAAGAGAAGTCATCAATCTAGGTGATAATGCAAAATTATGACACTCATGGTCGATAACTGGGGAAATGAAATGCTGAGTATTTCATGTTCAAACTAGACTCTATCATGCTGCAATCACCTCTCCAAAATTTGTTTTATTCTCTGTAAATTCGAATGGGTTTCATTCTTGTAATGTTTTTGACATGATGCTGAAACCTTCAAATGTGCCAACTGGGCTTACAGGAGGAGGCATAGATTCCAGTTTGTGTATCCATTTGTACATTTAGTCCTTTTCTATGCAGCTGTATTTTCCTCTTATTTTAATAGGTTTGTGTTCATCAATTTGAGATTGTGGCTCTTTTCCCTTTTCCTTTTCTTTTTTCTTTTTTCGTTTCACTTAGTGGCTTAAATACTTGATATAATATCTGTACTGGTTTGTGTCGAAAATGTCCTTGCAACCATTCACCTCAGAGCTCTACTGTTGAACACAGCTTTATGTCTTTTGTTGGTGTTTAAGTCATATATAAGATTAAATATGCTCTTTCTTTTTTGGTTTTTAGTTCTATTTTATTTCTTCCTCCTTTTGCTATTTTCAAATCTTGCTCGGATTCTGGAGCTGGGATATCGTAAATGAGATGCAGAAGGTCACTTAATGACTTCTCTATGTGATTGCATCATCTAATGAGATTCTTCTGTTTGCTTCTGTGATTACAGTGCTGCCGGAATGTACACAAAGATCCTGAAAACTTTTTTCTGTTGGTTTCTTTTGTATGAACTCTTCATCAGTTTGACTCTTTTACCCCATTTATGCATCTGTTTTCCACCTGGTTATGCTGGAGTGTCAAAGCAGTTTAATGACTTAAGTGGAAAACCACATTTTTTCTATACAGGGAAACTTTACTGCTAAACTTATGTTACTCATAAATGATCAGTTCCGGCTCTTCCTTTGCCGTTATATTGACACATTTTAGTAACTTTCTACCAGAACATCTCTCCCTAAACATAAATTTCTAATGAGAGCAAGCATTTTGCCTGCAAAACTCAACATACCCTCTTATTCATCTACTTTCTCAAAATTCAATATTCAATCATGCAAAAAATTCAGGGAATAGAATGGGAAGTTCGGATCTACATCGACTGGATCAGTCGGGAACTCCAACAGCAGAGAATTTGTTGTTGTTGACAACGCATGCCCCGAGGTTATTTCCGTCATCTGGCAAGTCACAGCCGACAGGTAATTCGAATCTGGTATGTCTGGATTATAGGAAATAGGAGGATAATTGCTCGTTTGATATTCAGGTAATGTGGAATACTGATTTTCTCCTTCGGTCCCCGAAAATGTTGTTGGAAAACAGAAGTGTGCCTGTACATTCGTGGCATCCAAGTCTCCAGTCTCGACCTTGAGGCAGTTAGCTCTTTTGGAGTACAAAAGTGTTTGATTATGTTGTTCTTGTGGTGATGCTGTGGCCTTTGGAACTATGTAGCTTGGCTGGCTGCACGTGTGTGTCCCTTTGTATATGATCTCGAATAAAGTGGGGTCGTCATCCGATCTCTGCACTTGCTTTTTGGCCCAGCAATTTCGAACTGCACGGTACGTGCATCGGTAATAGCTTCTGCATATATCATGCATACACTTGTATTATTGTATATATATATTTTTTTTCATCGAGTATATATGCTCATGAATAGGTTTGTAAATGCGCTTTTGCATTATCGCACATAAAAAATGTTACTTATTTGTTCACGGCGAGTATGGCTGAATGGGTCAATGTGCTTGCTGGTCTTGTATTATTTAGGAAATTGGAAAGAGAATAAAATATAAAACCTGGGATGTTTGGCTCCCAAGATGTCTTTCTGCCCGTACTTTCTCCAACTATATCCGTCGTCTAATGGTCCATCGAGTCCGTTTTCACTGCTAACTCTCACTTGTTCGGTCATTGTGGGCTGCGACTTTCTGTGGAAATCAATCAAGAAACATTCTTACTCAGTGCCTCTGTTATAGTGCTATAGATTCTTAGGTGACTACAAAATATCAAGAGAAGTTTTATAATTATCGAAAAAAAAAAAAATTAAAAGGGCCCAATTGCATGTATTGGCAATTTGGCATGCAGTATCTCCTTAAAGTTGAGACAGGATCCAGATCTCAGGAGTTTCGATATATACGAAATACTAAGGGGTAGTTTTGTAATTAGACCTTTATAGGAAGCAAGACTAATGCTTGCACTTGAATTTTACCTCTTCTTAGGTGCATGTTCATGGTCTGGACGAATAGTCAAGTTTATATCGACCTTCTCGCTTTTTGGGGACACGCCTGCGGATAAGGAAGACTCGAGTGCGGCTGGTGTTGGTGGTCCCACTTGTGCTTGTGCAGCAGGCCCACCCCACTTCAGAATCAACAGAGAATTCTCGAAAGTCGATATTATTCCCTGAAGGAGCAAGTCATGAGCCTTAGAGGGAAAATTCGAGCATATATGAACACGTAGTTGCATAGCTCGTTCCATCCCCTGAGTAAGTTCATCAACCAATTTCTTGTTTTCACAATTTAAACCACTCTCCATTTTTCTCTTATGTTTCTTTTTCTTCTCTTTTTTTGGTTGCAAGAGCTGTGTAGAAATTTACATCAACGAGTTTATAATAAATAAGGTAAGTGATGTGTGCTATATATATATATATATATATAGCAGAATTGGGACTGTTGAAAAATTGACTGAGAAAACGAGTTTCTTTTTTTCATTATTATTTTTTTCTTTAAATCCTTGTGGGCCATTTATGAATTATGGCAGTTTATGGGGTTTCTAGTGCTGACCATGTCAAAACCCAAAAGATATCTGGTATGTAAGGACTATGGAGTCACAAATTTTTGTATTAGGCGCGCCTTAACAACGCGTAACAGTTACGTGGGTCGACCCGTTTCGTTTATTTTAATAATTATGCATATTTTACGATGCTATTTTAGTGATATTTTACGACAAAATTGCTAGCTAGCCTTCATTTCAGTAAATTCGAGCTCGAATTTTCCGAAATGAAGGCTCTGCTGTTGATTACTTTAGTATGTTTGTGTTCCGTACGGGCAGGGGAGGGGAGGGGAAAGTTCCAACTGCTGACCCATTCAAAGTCTTAAAACTATGTGTGTGATGTTAAAGGAATCTTCGAATCCGCGTTTTTTTTGGATTTCATGTATTTTTTCATACTACCATTTTTTTTTTTTT